CAGAGAATTATACAAATATACAGATATGTAGCCCTTACTTATTCTTTTGAACCGTGTAAGGGTCGGTCGCTCACCAGTCTCCCTTTGGATTCCAGAAAGAGGTACTGGTCAACCTCTACCGGTCCTTCTCTCTCAAACAATACGCGCACCACTCCCACAGAGTAGGATATAACCACTTCTGGAAAGACAAATACACTTCACCACCGAATATCCACAAGTGTCTATCCAGATAGCCACGTACAACAAAGTAGCTTCCGGGCGGACCTTAACCTTCCGCACATTAATCTAATCAATCGAGCCAGGGGTGATTACTATAACCTCAGACAAGCAGCTACTATGAAATGGAAGTCTATCCAGACGACCAACTAGAATATGAAATCAGCAGATCACCTCGAGCGCGCGTCGCCCGATCACTAACCGAAATGGGATTGATAACTTACTCGAAGACGACGTGCCAACCTTCCTCTCTGTCGATACGCCCACACACAAGACTCCACTTAGGGTCTTTCAGGTACGTTGCCCGAAAGTCGACTCCTTGCTTCTCCGCTAACACACGACTACCGCCCACAAACAAATACGGTCTGAAGGAGCTTGTGCTTTAGGTGGCAAAACGAATTCTCTGTTAAAATATACGTCTCTCTGTCAATCTTTTATGATAGTCGTAACACATGGAAAAAAATTGTCTCGGTAAGGTGGACGATCGCAATCGCCCAACAATTTCGAATCTTCAAGTGCATAACATATCCGGTCGGTCGCATTGGCCGATCGTTAAAGTATAGGCTGAACTAACTATAGTCAGAGTTTCGAACCCTCGACTCAGATCCACACATCAATTGATTACGGTGCCCAATATCCAAAAGTCACTTCCAGACATCGATCATCACTCACAGGCATATTGATACACCAATATTGTCATCACTCCACATGTACCTTGGTGTATTCATACCACTTTCTTTTTTGCCAATCCATCTTATTTCGTGTACCCTACCGGAAATGTATCCAGCGTAAGCCTCCAAATAGATCGTCAACAAATATCAATAGTCACACTCCACAGTTTCTATCACAACTCTGGACCAATTTAGCTGGAATGAGTGGCTGGGAATTTTCCTCCAATCACAACGCGTCAGTTTGCACGATGTCAGGCGAGTTTTCGAAATCTAATTATTGTGTCAGTGTGTCGGCAACTCAAATAGAGGCCCTTCCGAAAAAGGAATCGACATTTACAAATCTCGCGGACCTCGAGCAACTATGGATAAACGAAATCAAAAACCGGATACCCGGGAGACTCTACCACAGCCAGCCATTCAGCTCAATTAAAGACCTCAGGAAACAGAGAGAGCACCAGCTACTCGGCCAACATCAACGACGGAATGGACAACTGTAAGGTCCGAGGGTAATACTCCAAAATCGAACAAGGACGTAGACAGCCCCGGAATATACAAGCCCAAGAGGAGGACATCAACAAACAATCAAAGGAGGAGAAATAAAGGAGTAAGTGAACCACCATAGCGTCAGTACTTGGAGTAGAACAATGCGCAAGCAGGACGAGAAATTACTGAAGAAATCGAACGAGCGGTCAGGGCGAGCTCAAGCGTAATGACCAAATAGAGAGGTCTCACTGAGAAAATGATCCGAGTAAAGCGGAAACCAGTGGATACACATACACTAGCGACATGCATCAATTTAAGCAAGGTAACATTTTCACAGAAGAACGTATCGGGGTCCAAAGTTGTACAAGACTGTGGGCTAAGTGAACGAGCCACACCTGGTACAGGAAACGGTCAATATTACGCAGTAGCAATGACAGTCCTCAACAGAGATTTTAGGGAAAAGGCAGATGTGTCCACGTTGGAAAATTTTACCGGAAAACGCAAAAGGGAAATTGAAGCTGCAGCGAACCATTGCTTCGGGCAGGAATTCCCTCATGATCAGCATATTCAGCTGCTAGTAAAACCTGGCACTTCGAGAAGAGGAAGTAGACGCTAAATATCTACCTAAATGCATAGTTGCTCAGTCGAAGAATCATCTTAAAGAATACGTGAGAGGGCTGAGTACATCAACGTCAACTTTGGACTATTTGTTTTTGTGCACAAGGTACTGAATAACGACAGTGACGCTAAGAATGGCAGCCAAGTTGCTGCAACGAAATATGTTCGTCGTGATAACACGCAACGGAGTGAGGAAATGAGTTATCAGATATTCGAACCAGCAGAGGCACCATATTTCCAGGGGAAAACGTTTTCTTCAGGGAAGAAGCGTAACTTTCATAAGTCTACAGTGTGGATTTCAGAACTTCAGAAAGTCTGCAAGGAGAAAGAAGAAGGACACCGTAGTCCAATAATAATCATGTACAATGGAATTCGCTACAGCCAGTTGCAATTCGGGGAGAAGTTGATGGTAGTCGAGGACGAGGAGACCAAGAAGGAAGAATTGGTGGAGGTAGATGTCGGCGACGCTGAAATAGCAACGATATCACAGAACGAGAACAGCGAGTCCTCTGAACGTCTGCAACTGGATACTATCGCCATGGAAGAAGCTCACAATACAACATCATAACAGAACAGGGAGAACGAGATCAAATTGAAGAGGATTCCAATAGCGTATTTGGTTCAATGCTTTGAGCGAGTTCAGAGTTACAGGTGGTGGTTGTATCCCTTGTTGGTTGTTTCGTGAGCTGAAAAAATGTATCTTGAGGAACGTGTAGCTTAATTTTGAGGGAAGCACCTCTCTTACTAGCACGCTACTTCTTGTTCCAGCTTTCAATTTTCAGGTCCCGATCCTCGCGAATGCTGCGCCCGTTGTCTAATTCCCTCTTCATCTAATGACAGGCCAATCCAATCGTCACTTCACTAAACCACTTCGACCACCATCACGTGCCATACCGTATTTAGATGTCGATAATCATGCTCCGATCAAACAAAAAGCGCGCAGAATACCACTTAGATACTTGCAAAAGTTATATGAGCTACTCAAGGGTCTGCTCAAGGCAAGACTCATCGGGTTTTCTAACAACCCGTGGGTATAGCCAATTGTCATCGTGCTGAAAAAGAACTGTGAAGATATTCGGTTATCCATTGACTATAAAATGGTGAAGCTGGCGGGGACCGCACACAGGAATTTCCCACAGCAGGGATGACACCGAGAAAACGGGCAGCTTTGCGAGAAGCCGATCTCTCCATACCAGGTACCGTAGAGAAATGGACCAAGGAATTTGAGGTAACAACTGGCGAGATTCTGGAAAGGCAATGTGAATTAAGGTTAACAGGACCAACCTCTACGTACACAACATCTCAAGCCAGTGTTCAATCTGAGATTGAATCGATATGATCCCCTTCATCCCATGACGCAGCTGTAGAGAACACCCAGGAGAGAGAACGTCATTGGTAGAGGAATGAGACGATTTCTAGATGGGCGCAATACATTGGGAGAGAACAGGATGCGAGAGTAAGCTCTGAAGATTAAATGGAATGATCTCAAAAGACACATGGGGACAAGTCATACCAGTTTCGTTTTCAAAGATGCCAATGTCAATCGAGATGTTGAAAACAGTAGTTCGGGCCGCTCCTCAATAACTACTGAGAACGCTTCAGCATTTCCATTCTCCTGAATATATACTGAGCACAATAACATTGATGGTTGGACATTAGCTTAAAGAAGACAATGTCTGGTTATATGTGTTGAGAAGATGCTAACAGCAGCAACATCGGAGAAATCGAAAAGCTGGCTCCAAGGATGGAAGCAGAAGTTTAACGACTCAGCATAGATGGCGGTGGACCCGTACAGCATCTTTGTGCGAGCTTTCTGGGAACCGATCAAAGCCAAAGAATATGCAGAGTCAGAACTTTTAAAACTCTGCAGAGAGACGACAGGCAAACACTATCTCAGATATTTTTGGCAGCCCATATTTACCATGCTGTTCAGCACCCTGGCAGGGAAAATGGGACCTCTTCCAGATAGTCTGATGAAGCACATGGGTCTCCTCTTCGAATCCGATAGGTTAATCCGGAGATGGATGCTGCGACTTATAGCTCAAACATTACTGGTTGCTGAGCAGTGATGGAGACCAAGTTTGCAATATCCACGATGGTCAGACCTGAGGGGTTGGCCCAGCAAGATAAACATTAAATGAATATGGAACTGAAAGCAGCATTGATCTCCCAGAGGGAGATTACTATTCGGAACTGGCAAATATCGCAGCGTTATTTGAAGACCTAAGTACAAACAAAAGCAAAACAAGCGCAGGGAGAAGAAACTTGGTGATAGTTACTCAAAATTTGAGTGGTTTCGCTGAAATGGCTAGAAAAAAAGGATGCGTGGGTGGAGAAGGAAAAGAGGAAGAATGGTGCCAGATTTGATTCTAGTCCAAGAAACAGTACTCCAAGCGACGGGAGATATATTAGAAATGCAATAGAGCTGGAACAGAATGTGGAAACTAGTGCAGACGGAACGACCCCTAAGCTACTGGACAATGGCAACCAAAACGTTGACAGGGGTGGGGATACTATTATCACCAGACCTCAGCTCAAGAGAATACCCTTGACGGGAGAAGGAGAGGGCAGCAAGAATAATGGCGATAGAGCTGGGCAATTGGTTGGTTGTCCCAGCCAAAAGCCAGGACCATGCAATTTTCTTCCAAGAACTGAAACCTTGGATAGAGAATCACGACACGGTTATTGCAGAGGGATGTTTCGATTGTGTACTACGCCCAAGGTAGGTCGGAAGAGTCTCACGAAAACCAAGTTCTGGGGGGGGGCGGTAAAAGCAAGGAACTCAAAAAGCCTAGTCGAAAACTATGAACTTACTGATGCAGTGGATTTAAATCACGATATTGAGGGTGAGGATGATGAACCTGACCCCTTCATCACTATACGTTTTGGAGACAGGATGGTGCAAGCAGACTAGATCGATTCTATGTTGGAGGAGAACCATTCACGGCAACACAATGGGTAGAAACATTAGAACCGGCGCATGATTCTGATCATCAAGAAGTGCGAATGGAACTAAGAAGAGGTGGTCGTCTGGACCATACGCTCTGCATATCTATTAGATAGGGGTCGATAAGCCATAGTGGAACGTTGGCGTTGACCCAGGATCTTGTTGAAAGACTTAAAGAAGTCAGACATAAAACCTGGCTCTCGATAATGACGGATCACTTCGCTCGCACCAACTCTGCGGGAAACGCATTCTTCGTAAATTTCAGCGATTGTTTGAGAAGGGGTAGCGGCACTGGCCTTGGTGATCACATATTCAGAGAATAGATCCACGCAGATCAACAGTTCTGAGTTGCCATTAACGGATCTAGGTAAACGAAGGTATGTGATCCATTGCAATGACCTGGAGCAGGTATGTTGCCTGAAGGGTACAAGGTGACTCACCCTGAATCCGAGGTCGTCCTTTGCCCCGTTTCATAATCGACACACTCTTCAATATATCGCTGTACGCTCTTATACAACCCTCTCCAGTGGGAGTGATCGCGGATCCAATCATAGGTTTGACCGATTCCTTGATGACCACCTTGCCGACTCGTGTGATAGTGATGCGAAATGTCTTACTGAAGCGTCTCGGGTATCACCAATCGCATCAGCTAGTATCGATCCGCAGTGGCCTCCTAAGTTGCCGGACAATAAAAGAGTAGATCCGACTGATCCACCTCATAGTTCATGGCAAAAGATCTCAACACCTTAGCATCTTCTTGTGTCAGATCTCGGTTCTCTCCAACCAAATACTTCTTTAGTCCTGAGATCCACGACCCTCGTCTTGTTCTTGCCGAATCCGCTCGATCCGCCGTTATCTCACAACCTCCTCACGCAACGAATCTGGATCAGACCCGATGCGCACTCCCCATCTGGCTTTAGATCAGGTCGTTACAGCTGATATCCGGACGATCTCGTCTTCGATCTTCACTACCAGGATCTCATCCAACCGGTTTAAAGTCACTAGATCCCGGATCTCCTTTTCAGACTCTATCTCAATCTCACATTGCAGTTGCAGAGCAGCGCTTGCCAAACTGTTAGCACTCCCGTTCCAATCTCGTTTGACGTGTAACAGCTCGTGATCTGGCCAAGTACGTAGTCGATTCAAAGCCCGCTGGCGTAGCAGTGTCCGACCCGGTGCCTTACAATCGATCTCACTTCGAGCCTCCGCAGATCACTAGACGTCGTGGATCCAGATCCTCCAACAAATCCAAACATAGCAACAATCCACGGTATTCCGCCTCGTTCACCCTCAAGCCTTCGGCGTATCCAGATCTATTTTTCAACATCCTCCATTCAGGTAGCTTCTACAAGATCGCGCTGTAGGCGCCTCCACCCCTCTTGACACGAGCGTATCCATCGAAACTAACAGCGTATAGATCCTCATCTCGTCCGATAGTCGGGATCGGAGCCTCGATCTTGCGTCATGGCTCCTATTTGGGGACGATCGAGATTAACACCTTGTCCACCTGTGATCTAGGCGTGATACTCGCTGTCTATACTCCCGGGATCTCTTCTTCACCCCTGCCGCACTTGGTGATCTCGAGAGTCGATGGCGACAGTAGAGCAGTCCACTGAACTAACCGTCCCTGCAAGGCTGCGGATTTGAAGAGCCACGCCAAAGTAGAATGTCGGATCAACACATGGATCGGACGTCCGACCAGCGCATTGTAGTTAAGATCCAGGATTCTTAGTAAGGCCAATACCTGCTTCTCCGCAATACCGTAATTCAGCTCATTCGATTTCAAAGTACGGCTCTCAAATATCACGGGGTGGTAGATCTTGTCGTACTCCTGCATCAATGATCCTGAAATGACCCAGTCGCTTGCATACACCACAATCGCAGCTCTACGATCTGTATCAGAGTATCGTAAGATCGGAGTAGTAGCGATCTTGGCTTTAAGCACTCTGAAGGACCGATATGCATGGATCCAACGCGCATCCACTTCAGTAGGATCTGGCGCCTCCAGATTCAAAGGGTTTCGGTGGTCGTTCACCTGATCTTCCGATGATCCTTGATCCACGTTCTCCGCCTCCAGCATTTGTTGAATCTGTGCTTGGGTGGTTTCTTTCGTCATCGCAGCAAAGTCGATTTCTCGTAATTCATAGGGAACCGACGCGTAGATCGTGTAGTCTTCGATAAATCGGCTATAATAGTTCAGACTTCCCAAAAAATGACTGCATGGCTCTGAGAGATCCAGGGAATGCTAGATCATTTAAAGCCGACAGGTCCTTCGTGTTCGCTCCCGGCGATTGATGGAGACCTTATGAACCAGATATTCCAGCTTAGGCATTCCCCCAAAAAATTTACCCACACTGATCGACAGATTTCACTTATCACACGACTCGAGTAAACCTTTAACTCGAACACATAGTTGATCCCAACCATTGGCTGGGATCAGGATGTCGTCGTTGTATGATCTACGCCCAAGCACGGATGGCTTGTCTAGATCCACCGCTTACCAGTCCTCAAATACATCCGCGATACTTCCGTGATCTTCGGACTTCGGGATCCGGGTGAACCCATATAGCGCGTTATCGATCATGCGTTGATAGATCTGGGGCGCATTCTTCAGGCCAAAAGGCATTCGATTCCACTCAAATAATCCAAAAGGAGTGATAAAAGCCGAGATCAAACGAGCACGATCCGTCATTATGACTACCCAAAATCCACTCGCCATATCCAAAGAACAGTACCAAAGTGTCGACTCCAGATCTTCAAGTAAGTCGTTGATCAAGGGCATTGGGTAGACCATCAGCTGAGTTAGACTGTTAACCAACCGGTAATCGATGCACAACCTGATATCCACTCCGTTCTTCTTGATGATCAGGGGTAGCCCATGGTGATCTAGAGTAATTGATTATCTTGGCAGATAACAGACCTTTGATCAAGTCTGCCAGGTTCTCCCTGAACTGGATCCGTACCTTATGACACTTCAGGGTGATGGGGCTCGCTCCTCCGACATCGATGCCGAACACCACACCTCTAGCCGCCGGCGGAAGGGCATTTCCTTTGCCGATCAAGAGGTGCTGAAACTTCCAGATCCTTTGGCGAAGTCGATCAAATTCTTCCGGGGTTTGGTAATCTGATCCACATAGCTGAATGTCCTCGGTCTTCAGATCTTCCGTCGTCACAGGCACTTCTGGTAGTACCTCCATCTGACCGTCGACATCTTCCGCGTACAGATCACTTCCTCCATGGTAGTATACACATTCATCATAATCTTGGTCTGAGTCCCAGATAAGGTCCAGATCCGACGTGCCTGGTTGATCTTCAACGACGGGTGATGTATCCATGTCCTTTTTCGCATACATGTCGTTCAACGGGTCACCGGCCACAGGTCCCGTCCTCGATTGCACACTCATTATTGATGGTGGATCCGATCCGCCATTTCCTCATTTCGACGGCGATATTTCTTGATCCGGACCTCTCGACTGTGATTGATCCTCACTGGCAACCCCAATTCCGTCTCGGCCTTCTTCTTCTCGCGTTTCCACTACACCCGTAGTTTCTTCCAGCGACGGATTAGTCGCCAACACGTCTGATGTCACTTGATCGAGATCTTCTAGCGCCCCTTGACCGTTTCACCATGCGATATAGAGTCTTAATCTGCGATAGACGACCGATCCGACTCCTCGCTTGCGACAGACGCTAGTTCCAACGGTCGAATCTCCGACGGCGATTTGTCCGACGGCAACTTGTCCGACGACGAGTTATCCGAGGGTAAGTAGTCAGGAATATTATGATCCTGACTCGCCTCGACCTTCTGACACTGGATCAACGTCGCCTTCGGTCTCTGGAGTATTGCGCGCGGAGTTGCGGGTACCAGCGGGATTTTGACCTCCATTTCTTTGGATCGAGTGTCTGTCGTGGCTTCCAGCGCTAGATTCTACCACTCCATGTAACGACGAGAGCCAATCGAGATGAAACCCGGTATTAGTGGCACATGGTCTCCGGCCAGCCAGATCCCGATCCGGTGGTCTTGATGCAGGATCAACACCTCGTCCCCAATGTTGGTGATCGATATGTACTTCGTTCTCACTGGTCCATCGGATATTGTCGGCGCCCATCGATCCCCACGCGTGACCCACAGCTTGTCGTGGATCGATAACCTCAGGCGCAATGGCAGTTCCACCGACTCACCTGCTTGGATCCGGGATATTGGCCAACGTTTACGGTCTTCGTCTTATCGCTATAATGTTGCAACCTCCCGCTAAACTGGATCCGGACTTCATCGGGCAAGTTGACCGATCCATGAGCTAGGTCCAGGCGGATCCCGGCTGGGACCATGAAGCCCATACCAAGTATAGCTTGTTGTCCGGTCAGATCACCAACCCAGATATCGAAGAAATATACCAGTGATCCAGCGAGGGTCACCTTGATCCGGGTTCTTCCTTCCGTCCAATACACGTTGTCACCAATTCCCACACAACCCTGGATCTGACTCGAGTCGATATAGCACCCAACCTTACGAGCAAAGACGATGTCCACGATGGACACCTCGGCGCCGGTATCTAAGAGTAAGATCGCTTTCTCATTGAACGCTCGGCTCGTATCGGATTCCACCCCGACGAGCGTCCTAGTTTAACAATTTTTCAGCCGCTTCGGGTACCATACCCATGTGCTTCGTGGGGTTGAATCACTGGCGGATCTGGTTGTAGAACTCCTTCATCGGACATTCTCCCATGCCATGTAGTTCTCCACACCCGCGACACACGAAGAGGCAGTGATCCGCGGGATGTCCTCTCATGATGCACTTCGTGTATGTAACACGCCTCCAGCAACCAAGATCCGAGTGCTTTCTGGATCCACAGTGCGTGCATCGATCGTGGTTAAAACCATTACCGTGGATCTTGTAATATGGTGACCATGATCACGGTCCAGAAATCGTGGATCCATCTTCGTCAACTCCTTCTCCACCTGCGGGGTGACGTCTTCGTTCGCAGCAAAGAAGATTCTTCGATGCCTGTCGACGTCAGAGTCGGATCCACCCGATCCGTCAGATTCGCTGTCAGATCCAGAGTCGTTAGCTTGGATCTGGATCGCACGCACTTGCTTCGCTGGGCGGACGGGGTGGAGTAATTGGTAAGCTTTTGCCGGTACTTGCTGGATCCGAACGCGGCCTTCTTTTGACGATTCTTAGCACGATCCCGAGCTCGGAGGGCTTCCTCAAGATCATCTGCGTCAGGCAACCGCAGCAAGCTTATCCTCTTTGCCAGATCTTGATCCTCGAGCGTCTCGATGTAATGATCAACATGTTCGCGTCGTTCATACGCGTTACCATCCTTGATCTTCAAGCTCGCACGGAGTCCCGTCACATTGAGCCGATACAAGTAGTCTAACGGCGACTCATCGGATCTACGTCGCGTATGTAGTATTGTCTTGCTACCGATACTCCAAGTCCACAATACTGGATCTGGAAGTTGCGTACGAAATCACTCCATTTGTTGTGAGTGGATCTACTCTGCTGGTGATACCAGTTCTTCGCAGATCCAGCGAGAAGGTCTGCGAAGGTCAAGCACTTTTCCTCATCCGATGCTTGATCCCGTATGAACGCAGACTAGACTTTGCTGATTCACGCTCGTGCTCGATCTTCGTCCTGATCCTTGCCAGTGAACTCTGTGAGATCTGAGATCGCGGAGATCCGAACACGCTGTATCATGGTGAACCCTGTGGATCCAGCAGCAGCGGTGGCCACGGTGGCGGGTGCCGAGGTGGGAAATCTACATCGTCCGGGTCATACTCCCAGCGAGATCCATGATCGGAAGATCGAATGGACTCCATCTCGACATCTTGTGATTCTTGATGCTGTGGACATGTAGTAGCTGGATCTTTGTTCGCGTCCCGTTCTTCGACCAGGTATCGGTCCATGACAGCATTGAAAAACTTCTGCTAGGTACCGACAGATCGGTCTGAACTTCTCCGTGGCTGTGGCTTGATCCGTTGGTGCGGATCCATTATCGCGGCGGCTGCACTAGAGCGTTGGATCTTGGATCTCGCCTCCAGCATCGATGATCCGGAGGGTCCTAGGGACATCCGTCGCGGTGACTCTGAGGAGGTGTCAGGTCCGTCTTCCGCGGCTGACGCATAATGTGACGACACTGTCATGATGTCGACGGCGTCAGTCGTGGTCAATGGCAGCGGATCTGGACTCTGGGGTACTTCGCCGACTAAGACCTTCAACTTCTGGAGCAGATCGCCACTGGTAGCTTGGATCACATCAAGATCCAGGTCAAACAGTGTGTCTGCGTCGAACGATCCAGGGACCATATCAGCCTCTTTCAGCAGGCGGAGCAGCTTCATCGCTGCATCAAATCGGTTGGCCAGTGTCGCGGGAGCAGTCACAGGCTCCTTCGGATCCGCGATCCGCTTCAGCTTCGGGATCCGCATCACTGGATCCTGGTCCACGAAGTCACGTAGCCCCTTGCGGTGATACATGGACTTCAGAACTTCTTCGGACCAGTCAGATCCGTGGTGCCCTTCCTCTTACTCGGCATATGGCTCTTCCATCTTCTTCCGCACAGTCTTGTGTCGTGTACTTCCTTTCGCCATATTGCCTCTTCTTCTTTCTTCTCTCTCACGTGCTCGTTAGGTCAAAACCTACACACACCACAACACACCGAAGGTCACACCACATCTCGGATCGCGGCACCAGTTGTCATGTAGGGCACGATAAAATTCTCGCTTTGTTGGGCGAGTTCCCACCAACAACACTTGCTTCCCAGTAGAGGTTAGCAATTGTTGGATCTAACCTGAAGTCCAGGAATGATCCCTTACACCGGGTCGGTTGTAAGCGCTTCGGTATGCTGATCGGTGGTAGGTTAACCATTAATTTGCACGCCTAGTCACGAGCTTGGGCTAGGATGCGATATGGCACTCTCGCGCTAACCCACCGCAGTCCTTCAGTGGAAAGGTACCGGCGTTTATAGCCTAATACATGGGTACCGAGGGTAAACCTCGGTGAGTGGTACAAATAAGTAGGTCTCGCAGACCTCCAAATACACACGTAACGACACTCTGTATCGTCTCTGATCTCTCGGTCAACACCAAACTCTTGGATTGACCCCGATAGACCCTTAGTTCACTGTACTCTGGATCTACCAACAGCCATCCACCCAACTAAGCGTATCTTTCCCCTAAGATAAGCTAGCTACACTTACCGAAGACGGACTTGACTTATTTCACTTGGGGGAAGACTGCGAATTATATTCTGAATACGTGTGGCCATGAGAGCCTTCTAGAATCTAATCCTAGCCGTACATAATATATCAAATATAAACTGCCCCTATAGGCTATCCCAGATTCTATATAGGGACGAGCGAGATTCCGGATCTAACATGGGTACATATCCTAAACTAGTCCTGAGTAAGGACTATTCCTACTCTAGAGACTTCGGTCTGGTTTATATTAGGCAGACCGCGCATCAGGAGTGTCAGTGACGCGTCACTTATTTCGATCTATCAGGGTAGATCGCCATCTTTCACCGAGTTGTGACCTGACCGTTAGCTCGGTGACCATGGTCTTGGAACGCTGTCAAAACCCGAAACCACAACTGCCCTCAGCACGTCGGGAACCTGCGCAACTGGTGACCGTTGCGCTGCCACACATCTTCCCCTGATGTCCCGGTGTCTCGCGCCTTAAACCAGGCTACTGCAGCGCTCACTCGTGAGCTCGCTGCTGATTCTCTGGTGAGCACCGCAGATATCCCTGCACATGTCTTTGTCTTGTCGTTGCTCACACCTTACCCTCTCTGTTTACTGCCCCTGCAGCCCTCAACTCCTCTTTCCACTGAGGTGCCGTCGGCGAGCGAAGCGTCTACCGAGCCGTTAGCTCCAGAACGGGGAACGGAGTTATCGGCCTCTTCGCGACAATCCTGGGTCACCGGTGACCCCACTCAACTCACCATCATCTCCCCCACGTTCGGAACGTAGCGCCGACTCCATCCAGTGGCCAACTCCCGCGCCGGCGGTGGATTCGGAAACCTGCAGGGCCACTGGAGGACGTCTGGCAGCTCCTACACCTTCGGAACCCAGCGCAACTCTGACCAGTGGCCAACGGATGGTGTCCTTGGTTTGGCAACCTCCACGCCTGGTCGACATTCCTTTGGTTCGGCGGCTGGAGGAGGCTACTAGCCTCATGGAAGTCTTGTCTGCAGCGCATCCTCCACGCCGACTCGACCTCACCGAGTCCGAGCTCGTAGTGGGTCTACGCAATAAGGTCACCCGTTTCACTGCGGCTCTGATGGACGCCGAAGACACGATCGCCGAGCAGGTGGAACGTGAGGAGAAAGCCGACGTCTTTTGCGTCCAAGCTTCCAACGAAGCCGATGATTTGGACTCCATGTTGCGCACGGAGCGGCAAGACT